TTCTATGTCTGCTTGGAATTTGTGCCTTGCTCTATTCTGCCCTGTCATAGACCTCAGAAGCTTCTCTATTCATTAGCCAATAAAAGCAGCACATATACAGAAGGACTTCCCACACCAAGAACTGGATTCTTTTTTTTGATGTAAGATTATGCACATGTAATTTTGTGGATTCTGTGAGTTTTTATTGTGTGCCATTTCTATTACTCCACTAAACAAATGGTCAAGGGTGCTTTCCACATTTGAATTCAGAGTCAATCCTATACATATCAGCTACCATTTTTTCATTATCAAAATAAGAAATTTAATTTTAAAAGACTTCTTCTTTTTTCTTGAGTATATATAATGTCTTCTTTATATGTCTTGATGTATATCTTTCATTATTTACAACAAGTAAAATTGGACCTAAAATTTCCATTCTAGCCCTTTACTTCTATTGGGGCATCTTTTGAGTCTAGCACTTGATCCATTTTGACAGGTGTATCATAAAAATTAAAGACATTAGATATGATTTATTTTATGCAATTTACATACAAAATCAGTTCACCAAAATTTGAGGAATGTTCACAGGAGTTCAGTAGATCAGAAGTGACTCTAAAATAAAGAAATGTCTAATATGTAGGACTTCTCATAGCCTTCAATATCAGATGGTCATATTCTCATTACTTGGGATATAAATTAAGAGAACAATAGTCGATCCCTATACTAATGGCTACGAAAAACTTGTTAATTAAATTTAAAAGCCATTCAATGAGAGAGAAATTATGTCAGGTACTAGAAATCTAGCTAACTGGAGCTAATGACATCATAGATATCTGAGGAGAACTTACAATGAACTTTACTAAACCAGCAAACACAGATGAGAGCAGTGTTCATCCATCATAAAAAAAAGCTAAATCACTATTTGCAACAAGTGGAGACCATACAGAAAACCATAACTAATAAAAATTCGGAACACACATGATAGTTTGTTGCCCAGCTCCAACCAACATATCTACAACACAGCACCCATTCTTAAGGCTCAGGGAACATCGTGGAAAGATGGTAGAAAAATTGTAGGAGTTAGAGAAACAGGAAGTCCTCTATGATATTCTCTCTTCCAGATGTCAAGGAAGCTACATGCATGAAGTCTCATCAACATGGCTGCTTAAACATGATCTGAACAAGAAGTAGGATACTATATATAAAATACTAAAGGGAGAAATTGCATATGGCCCCAACCCTAGACAAAGAACTGAAGAAAACTAAGAAATACTCAGAGTAGGAGGAATAGTCTTCCCTAAGGGACAGTTCCCATATTGGTTATCAAATCCCAAGTGGTATGGCCCGAAACAATCTACTTAAAAGTAACATTATATGGAATTAGCGGGTTGTATTTATATATTTAGGTAAATATATATAATATCTCTCTTTATTTGTGTGTATGGTGGTGTGTATATGAATGTCCTTGGGTGTGTGTGTGTGTGTCTGTGTGTGTGTGTGTGTGTGTGTGTGTGTGTGTGTGTGTGTATGAGAGAGAGAGAGAGAGAGAGAGAGAGAGAGAGACCAAGTCAAGGGTACAGAGAAGAAGTTGAAGGAAAGAAAAGAGGGGAAAAGAAAACATTTTAATTTCAAAAGTTAAAATTAGAATGTAGCAGTGCTATTGCAGTAGGTTTGTATGTCACAGATGGCCAAATAGGAGTAGGGAGATTAACCAGTCTCTTTGAAGCCAATATGATTATATCACAAGCCAAATTGCAAGATACGATACTATAGGAGTTGTACTGTAGAAGTTTTCCTTGCTAAGTGAAAACGTTGCTTGGGCCTGATCATTCCATGCTGAACTACCAGTTTTACCCTTTAAATTGGAAGTGTTTATCATGTGGCATTGTTTGGGGGGACTTTGTAACCTGGCTTTGATTTTATACAAGCTTATGGCAAAATATTCACTTGGAGTATCATAAGATGTTTTAGACTTTGTTCTTTTAAACATTGCTGGGACTGTTAACTGTGGCAGATTTACAAAGTCTCAATGAATGCACTTCAGTTTATGACACTATGGCATCAAAGAGTAAACTATTTTCTTGGCAATAACTTGGTAGAGTTCTAAGTTACTGGGAAAAAGATGCACATACAATAGAAAATATTGACTGTCTATTTGACAGGATCTAAAACATCTTAGGAGTCAAGCTTCCAAACACTTTGTGGATTAAGAAGATAATTGAGGTAGGAAAATTGTTGCTTTGGCTTTGTTGTTTATTAAAAGATTATTTATTTATTTATTTATTTATTTATTTATTTATTTTGGTGTTCACAGAATAAATCTTGCACAGGACTATGGCAGGTATTTGTAGCTCCTGGGAGGTAATGACTACATAGGTTGAGTTAAGGCCAGAAGCAATTTATAGCTTTCCTTTTTATATATAGGGTCACAGTTGAATTTCCTCTGCTATAATGTTACTTCAGACACAGATATGGTTATAGAAATCTCCCGTCTTGTGAGGACCATTCAACTGCCAATCATTCTCAGCATATTGAGTAGACAAGCTTCATTTATAAATGTTCATTGTAAATAAGAGTTTCTCTGATTAAGGATGAGAGTAACATTTTCCCGTGTATTGTGGGCAGTAAGCAGTCATTGTTTGCTATAAGGAGCAGAGTATAAAGAAGGGTAAATTTTTTTTATTTTCTTTGGATCTTGATATACGCAAAGTTAAAATTTTGGGATTCATTAATTTGTAGTAAGGTTTTTTGGAGGCTACTAGCCTCAAATAATCATGAAAGCTTGGACTTTAGCCTAAGTTAAACTAGCTTGAGTCAACTAGCTCATGACTTAAATTAATCCTTTTATATTAATCTATGTTCTGTCACATGGTGTTAGCTCTCTTTCAAGTTTCACCTTTTGTTTCCTCTCCATCTCTCCTGATGTCTCCCTTGCACCGGATTTATCTCCACCTACTTCCTCTCTCTACCTGGAAGTCCCACCTATACCTCCTGCCTAGCTATTGGCCATCCAGCACTTTATTTAAAAACTCATAGCAATATACCTTCACCCAAGATATAAAGACCCCACAAAATTGCCTACGAGTATCAGCAATATGTGAATGATAGGAAGTTCATCATATGTACACTAGTATTTTTCAACAAGTTATTTATAAAACTTTGAGGGGATTATAGCACCTTGTATGCTTGAAGAAATTAGGGTATACATTTTATATATACACAACAAAGAAATAATACTAATGTTAACTGCTTATTATCTGACTCAAGTTCTGTATGTACTAGTTAATCTTTGCATCATTTTCTGACTTAAAGGGTTGATTCAAGCTGTCACAGGCTAGATAGGTTCTCTTATATACAATTCCAAGAGGATTCAAAATATGTATTGAAGATTATTAGGGAGGGATCAAAAAACACAGGTTCAAGAGAAGGCCCAAAGTTGAATAATCCTTCAGCAAGAGTTTTAAAACTGGCAGACAGGTGAGTATCAGAAAATACTTGGATCTCTTCAGTGAGATGATT